GGCAAAAATTAGTATTTGTGACTGAAAAGTAGGTTTTAAAAATTTGGCGTTATCATTGCAATTAATTCTTTAGTTTTTCTTTTCTTTTCTTGTTATTTCAATTGAATGAGGGGTAAAATCGTCAAAAAGTTGAAAAAAGGACGTTCAGCGCACAAAAAGTTGAAGGTAGGGGCATAAATGCCAAGAAATGAAAGGTACGGACGGTTTTCAAAATCAACCCCAAAGGTAGGGACGTTTTGTGCTAATTAGCCTTTTTTTTTTAATAATAAAGTATATTTTCTACATGAGAGGGAGAATGCTTGTTAGATTAGTATATTTTATACACTTATTTTGACTTTCTAAACTATACTATTTATTGCTAAATTGAGCGAATATCTATCTAATTTAGTGTAATATGTCAATTATAAATAAAATTGAAACTTGGACACAACTAGCACAAGAAAATGCATTTTTGTGCTTAATTGAAGTTGATTGGAGCAATTGAAAATTATCTGAATTGCACGTGATCAATTAGAAGAATTAAGAGAGCAATTGGAAGAAATTCACAAGTTGGGAAGTTCAATTCTACGATTGAAACGTTTGAAGACTAAATTACAAACTTTTGAAACTCACATTGGATCAATCAAGATGATTGTGAAATTTGAGTGATTAAACTAAAAACATTTATAAAGATAAAGGACCCGTGGTGAAAATAAAGAGAGGACTCAAGCCGCACCTAAGGAGGAAGTCAGGGACCAATTCGAATGAGAAGCAGAATTGGGTGTCACGATAGTGAGGATATTCTTGTGCAATCACTAGCCAAAATATTATTCTACAACGTGTATAAAGAATATACTACCAACTCATAATATTGTGCGATCATATGGTGTCAATTGACAAGCAAAGTATGTTAAATCCCTTTTATTTGGGTGCAGTTTTCTTGTACACTGAGGGATCTCACAATGTTTCGAAAGTGAGTGGAATTGACTTCCAACAATGTGCCACATCAAATGCAACCGGTGCTCTGACTAGCAGAAATTATGTACTTATTGAACATCTACATGAGACCCAAGGGAGACATAAGGTGGATGCAAGGAGATAAAAAGGATAATGGGCCTCACTAAAACAATGTGAATGTATTAAATGCAGTGTTCTAAAAGATGTAATGTGTGGCGATGCGTGAAGGTCAAGGTCAAGGCTAAGCGAGCTTAGACAAGACATATGCATAAAAAGCGTTTTCTTATTTTAATATTATTTTAGTTTTTAATCAATTAAAAATAATACTTACTAAACATTTAAAACAGATTTATAGGAACTTTATATATTTTTTCAAAGTTTCCAACAAAAATATAAGTTTCAAATTTAAATACTAAATAGTAAGTAAATAGCATAGGAACTTAAATTTTATCTAACTCTTTATCGGACTCCAATTCA